TATGGCAGCAAGAGTTCAATCCAGAACTCCTAGAGCACAAGATCTACTCCAAGATCTTAGATAAGAACAAGTTCTATTATAGGTAGTGGGTACATAGTCTGCCGTTACAAAGTAGAGGTGAGGACCTCTATTTATAGGGCTTTGGGAAGTCTTCACATACTTCTACTTATAGCTGGAACACTCTAGAAAACATTATTTAGCATTTACCTCTCTACTCACAACTACTTATAACTAGAGAACTCTAGAAACAGCAGGTAGGGTAAAGAAAAGAAAAGAAATATGAGACCACAACAGAAGTATCTAGAAGTCGCTAAACAGATTTGACATATGATTATATTTTTCATTTTCCTCATCATTCCGCCCTGTTTGTTTGGAACTCGCCCTCGAGTTATCTTCATAGAGCGCTTCTTTTGGATGGTAGAGAGTCAAGTCTGCGACATTGAAAGTGTTGGATATACCCATGTCGCTTGGAAGATCTATCACGTAAGCATTATCATTTATCTTCCTCGCGATAGAGAAGGGTCAATACCTTTGTTGCCTATGTTTCCCTTTAACACCTAAAGGTAGCCTCTTTTTTCGGAGGTATACCATCACCTTATCACCAACTTGGAATGATTTCGGCCTCCTTTTTGCAGTCAGCAAGTTGTTTATATTTCTGATTTTGTGCTTCCAAAACACCGCGAATCTCTTCAAATAACTCAGTGTAATTATCAACAAAGAACAATGTTGATTTTGAGTTTCCCCTTGAGGGTAGCTTCACCAGGTCCACCACATGTGTTGAAACTTTAGCGTAGACAATGAAAAAAGGACTCCTTCCTGTGGATCCATGCTTGGAGTTATTGTAGGAGAACTCTGCAAGAGATAAAACCAAATCCCATTGTCCCTTTCTTTCTCCCCAAATGCAACGGATCAGATTACCCAAAAATTTGTTCACCACTTCTGTTTGTCCATCTGTTTGTGGATGAGCAGTGCTAGAAAATTTCAATTCGGTGTTGAATTGCTTCCACAAAGTGAGCCAAAATGCAGCAAGAAACTTGCTATCACGGTCTGAGACAATGGACCTTGGAACTCCATGAAGTCTAACCACTTCTCGGAAGAATAGGTTTGCCACATGATGAGCATCCGTTGTCTTGCAGCATGGGATGAAATGAGCCATCTTAGAGAATCTATCCACGACCACAAATACAGCATCACTTCCTCGTCTTGTTCTTGGCAAGCCCAAGACGAAGTCCATAGAGATGTCCTCCCATGGAGCAACAGGAATAGGCAAAGGCATGTATAACCCTGTGTTCTGGACTTGGCCTTTGCAGGCTTGACATATGGGGCACCGCTGAACAAACTTGCCAGCATCCCTCTTTAGTTGTGGCCAAAAGTAGCGAGCTTTCAGGTTAGCGATAGTCTTGTCCCGTCCAATATGGCCACTAAGATCACTTGAATGGAGTTCTCTAATTAGTTTTTCACGCAGAGAACTCCTTGTGATGGTCATTTTTGAAGAGATAGCCATCATGCACCAAATAGTCGTCACCTAATGGCTGGCCCTCATGTGCTTCACCCAAACATGGCCAAAGTCTTCATCATCCTCATACAACTCTCGCGAAACCTTCCCTCTTTACCTTCAATTGCATCTGAAAGTGATTTGTATACTTTATTGTGACCATCCCTCGTCGGTTGCCCGCGGGGCCTACTATCAAGAAGTGTATCCACGGCTTCTTGTACCATTTTTCCTGGCACATTACTAAATCTGCTGGCGCTAATTCACTTCTTTTTAATAGATCCTGATCAATAAAATACTTAGGTTTTTTTATAGTGCTGATCGAATTCGATAAATTTTTACTTCGCATAAGTTCGGGTAAGAGAGTAACTGAGACTGCCGATACTAGGTTTAGAGAAACTATACCATAGTTCTATCCTCAAACTAGGGTTAGGGTTCCTTTATTTGATCCATGCCTGGAAGTTCAGCTTCAAAAGAAGTCAAGAGGCATGCACGACGACTCAAAGCATCGGCCACTTGGTTAGTTGTCCCAGATTTATGCACGATGAGATAGTTAAACCTCTCTAGATATGATGCCCATCTCGCTAGCATGCGGTCAACATGCTTTTGATTTCTAAAATGCTTCAATGATTGATGGTCACTATATACGATGAACTCTTTTGGCAGCAAATAAACTTCCCAAGTTTTCAAGGCTTTGAAAACGGTGTACAATTCTTGCTGATAGGTGCTCCATTTCTGCCTATCTTCGCTTAACTTCTCAATAAAGAAAGCAATGGGCTTCCTTTCTTGAGATAGAACAGCTCCAATGCCTACTCCACTCGCATCACACTCCAACTCGAAAGTCTTGTTGAAATCAGGTAGCACCAAGACAAGAGCTTGTGAGAGTTTTTGCTTGATCTCATTGAAACTAGTTTTAGCCGCTTCTGTCCATCGAAACTTTCCTTTCTTCAAGCACTCGGTAATTGGTGCCATGATAGTGCTGAAATTCTTCACAAATCGTCTAGGCCATGAAAACTTCTTACCTGAGAAATTGTCTTTGGAGTTGGCCATTCTCGGATCGCTTCAACCTTGGGAGTCATCAACATGAATACTGTCACACGTTACGACGAAGCCTAGGAAAAGAAGTTGTGTTTGCACGAAAACACATTTCTTCAAGTTGACGTAGAGCTCATTTTCCCTTGGTACTTCTAGCAACTTCCGAATGTGATCAAAGTGTTCATCATCATCCTTGCTATAGATCAAGATGTCATCGAAATAGACCACAACAAAGTGGGATAAGAAGGGTCGAAGGACTTGATTCATCAAGTGCATAAAGGTACTTGGTGCATTTGAGAGTCCAAATGGCATGATTAGTCATTCAAACAACCCTTCTTTTGACTTAAAGGCTGTTTTCCATTCATCCCCGGGTCTGATACGGATTTGATGATATCCACTTCTTAAATCTAGCTTTGTGAACACTCTTGCTCCACTAAGTTGATCCAACATATCATCTAGACGGGGAATAGGGAATCTATACCTTACAGTGATCTTGTTAATGGCTCTACTGTCCATACACATGCGCCAAGATCCATCTTTCTTTGGCGTGAGCAGGGCTGGTACAGCACATGGGCTAATACTTTCTCGAATGTGCCCCTTTTGCAGCAATTCCTCCACTTTCTCCTTCAATATATCATGCTCTTTTGGGCTCATTCGATAGTGTGGAAGATTAGGAAGACTTGCTCCCGGAATTAAGTCGATTCTATGTTGAATTCCTCTCACCGGTGGCAGGCCTTGTGGCTCTTCAAGTATGTTCTGAAATTCTGCCAATAAACCACGTACCTTTGCTGGAATTTCAACAGTCAGGTGCTCTTCTCCTTTTACAACAAGTGCAGCACACATATCTGCCTCCTTCAAGTCTTCCATAAACTCATGAGAGGTATGGGAGATAACTAACATAGTTTTCCCCTCCTCCTTGGAGGTATTACCTTCAGTTTTGTTTGGTAAAATAATGATCTTTCTCTTGTTCCAAATGAAAGAGTAAGAATTTGTGCAGGAAAGACCGATCGCGAAGTTCCTTCCTAGCTTGGCCTCCACGGTCCCTCTTATCTTTACCGTTCGTTTGCCTCAGGATTTGTGCAGGAAAGCAGAATCACGAGCGCGCAGCTGTTCGCTGCACTTTCATTAGCTGATGCGGTCCAGTCTTGTCATGTCTGTGAACTGAAACGTTGCTGCAGCAGCAGGCTTTCTTGCTATGAGACAAACTCATACTAGTTGACCTGATGTCCAGCATCAAGCTCCCATGCAAGTTGCAACTATTATAATACTTTTGTACTAGAGTATCACATTCTATAGAAAAGAAAAACACATTTCTTCATTCTTTTGTACGAGAAGTTGGACTAGGTTATCATCTGAATATTTTGTTGCAAATTACAATGAGGAAAAAAGTTTCATGTTGACAATCAAATGTCTACCTCTACATCTCTCACCACATGCCCGAATAGAAATTATAAATTATATGCTTAATATATGATGTACTGAATTTATATGCTAAATAGAAATTATAAAATCCCCACAATTTATTGTGTCAAATATATGATGCAATACCAACTCTCTCTCTACATATCTCTCTCGGAGGGAGGAGGCAAGGGATATAAGGCAGCAGTAATTTTGAGACCATGATTTTTTTCTAGATGACGATGTGGCTTCTCATGTGGTTCACAGAGGATCCCGCTGAAACGTTCTTAGGATCAACTCCATTTATTACTGCGTGATGGAATCCACGGGTCCAAACAACACAAGAATGGACAAAAGCATGCCAGACTAGTCTGACGGACCCGTCATGTCGTGTACAGTACCCTGACTCGCGCCAGACCATTAAGCGCTGAGCGCCAGACACAGCTTCTAAACTTCCGTTCCTGGGCACACATCTCTATGCATCGAGGCCCATATTGAACGCCTAAGATAGTGGGTACCGCGTAGCTCGCGCTACAAAAAACCGCTCTCAAGACCGATCTGATAGGAAGAGGAGATATAATATACTTAACATTAACAAGCCTTGAAGTTTGGGGTTGTAACTTAAACTCGGCATTGAGTTCAGGATTGTAATGTGCACTTCCCTCAACAATACTCCCTCCATAAAGATCTAAACGCTCTTATATTTCTTTAGAGGGAGTACAAGTCTAACTGTGTTACAGGCGCAATCTCAGGACGATCGCAAATTCAGCCTGTGTGTATTCCGGCAGTGGTTGGACAAAAAGAATGCGGGTCAGGTGTGCGCAGCAATTGTACACAACTAACATAAAGAGTCCACTGTTCACCTGCAGCCTATCATTGCCAACGCTAATTTTCAGTTAAGCAAAACTTCATGCCAGGCTAACTACCACATGGAACAAAACTAATCTCACCATTTGCATCATAGAAACAATCCAAGCACATAAGGACCAAAAGGGACTACCCATAAAGCATCAGGCTGAACCAACAGCATGTATAAATCAGGAATAACCTCCACGCGTATATGGATAATTGGAGATCATGGACGGCTCACCTTCTTGACGGCGAGGGAATGGGACGTGCGCATGGGGTCGCTGCTCACACGCTCAAACACGGCCAGATCTCGGAGCCGCTCCCTCTGCGCTCTCTCTGTAGCTGCAACAGAAACATTAGCAACAATGAGTTTAAACGTCAACCAATTGATGAAGCTAGACCACTGATCGCGTAATTTCGTCGAACAGATGGTCGCGTCAGCTCCGCGAGAACCCGGTGGGGAGCTTCGGTTCTCCGAACAGGTCAACGGCTCCGTGCAGGCTGAGAGAAATTGGACGAAGGGTGTTACCCGGGCACATGTCGGGACAGGTGCCCACGATCGGCTGGGCGTCGCTGGGGATGACCGCGGCGGCGGGGGCGGTGGAGGGAGGAGGTTGTGTGGAGGGGCGGCCGCGGTCTTCACACCGGCCCGGCCATCCTCGGCCTCGGGCGTTGCCGCGCGCGTAGCTCCGGCCCCGATTGCCCGCCCCGTCGCGCCGATCCATGCTCGGTTGAGAAGGAGCTTCGCCCCGTGCCGCGATCTCGGGGATAGCTCGGTAATTTGTCACCCATGGAAACGCGACGCTGGCTGAGGGCAGCGTGTTTGGTTCAGGGGAATTAGAGATGTCGAATGGGAGTTGAGGAGTAAGGAGATTAAAAATTTACTGTTTGATTAGAAAGAATGAGAGTTTAAGTGGGAAGGAAACTGGGAGTTGGGGAAGCCAATTCCCACCGATTTTTTCTCAGGGAGTACCCTGTTAATTCGTGAGGAGAGTTTATCCCACGACAATTCCCATCATATGCCAAACAAGGGAATGGGAGTAAAAATCTACTTCCCATGCCTAATCCCTTCATAAACACCCTTGTGCAAACTATCATTCCCTTACCCAAGTGTTTACCAAACAGGCTGTGGTTGATAAGACAATCTTATCTTAAGTCTTGCATGTAATTTAGAGATGACAAAAAAGTATGTCTATAATGGGTTATATCTTAGCCTTATCTTCAATAACTAGCAATTCCTTGAAACATGGAGAGACAAATTGTGCTAAAAGATCATCTCTTGTCTTATTTTAAATAAGAGAAGACAAGTCTTTTCTTACGAGTTCTCTCTCCTTCACCTCATCATTTATCCTACGTGGCACTCCTAAGATAGCATTATTGTACATGCCCTGAGTGTAGTGTGTGGTTGCGACGAAAACTCGCTGGCGCGGACGAGCTTTTTCTCGAGTACCATGAGTGTGTGTACTGCTCTCTATTTCTAATTTCTAATGTTTGAGTTGGTTCAATAGTATTCATGGTTTATTTTCGTTCCATCATTTTTAACCATTTTATTTCGCTGGTTTTTTTCGTCCTTTCCCCACTCTATTGGTTTAGTTTCGCATGTCCTATCACACAACGAAAAAAATCTGAATAGATCAGAACTTTTCATGCTGACGTAAGTCATTTAAGTAATATCTTTATGTGAAAGAATCAATTACGATCAATCTCTAAAAATCAAATTTAAATTAATTACCTTAAATCGTTTCATCACATTAATATTTTTTCGCGAATACGCTAAGGATGCATATCTTTGCATTGATAGAAGGAGAGTGTTTACAGCATGAGATTAGGACGACCCACTATGCCATGTACACAAAAGGGAGGCATGGAAGTGGACGTCGAGCAAACAGACGGGGTTGCTCATCCCCAAGAAAACTCAAGCCTATCGCTCAGGGAAGATGTTGGTGATCGCGGCGGCGCCGGCCTGGGCCCAGAGGCGCGCTTCGTCCTTGATGGTGGAGCACAGGTGGGAGACAGAGGGTCAGTCCCCGTCGAAGGTGCATTTGTTCCTATGCTTCCAGATCCACCAAGCGGTGAGGATGATGAGGGAGGATAGTCCTTTTCGCGTGGCCGCGGGCGCGAGAGCACAAGAGGAGGCCCACCAGGTAAGGAAGTCGGTGTCTCCGGTCGGCAGATCAGCGGGGAAGCGAGCCCAAGCAAGAACATCGTACCACACCTGGCGGGAGAAGGAGCAGCCAGCCAGCAGGTGTTGCATCATCTCATCTTCTTGGTCACAGAGGGCACAGGCGGGCTCATGGGGCAGGCCATGTCTCGCGAGACGTTCGGCCGTCCAGCACCTATCTTGGAGGGCAAGCCACATGAAGAACTTGACGTGAAGCGGAGCCCATGATTTCCACGTGAGCTTCCAGTGTGGTTCCTCACAGGCACCACGGAAAAGGGCCTGGTAGCACGAGCTGGCAGAATAGGTGCCTGAAGAGGTCCAGCGCCAACGTATGGTGTCCGGAGAGTCGGTAAGCTGAAAGTGCTGAAGCGCCCGCCAAAGCTGCACATACTGCACCATGGCCTTCGGGTCGAGAGCGCCATGGATGTCATGAACCCAGGAGCGTTGGGATAGACCATCTCGGATCGTGCGAATCTTGCGCCTTCTCTTCGGGATCAGTTGAAAGAGCTGAGGAGCGATCTCGGAGACCGAACGACCGGCAATCCAGTGGTCAGTCCAGAACATGCACTTGTCACCTCGGCCAACGCTCCAAGTGGTCGAGGCACGGAAGATGGCGCCGACAATGGCATCGTGCGGGATATGCAAGTGGCTCCAGGGGCGCGAGGGATCGGTGCCCTGAAGCCAAAGCCAGCGAGCACGGAGGGCGATGCCCACATCCTGTAGGTCGCGGACGCCCAGCCCGCCAAGATGAATAGGCCGGCAAACTCGCTGCCAGTTGACCATACATTGACCGCCATTGGCATCCTTGAATCCGGCCCAGAGGAATCCACGGATGATGCGCTTGACCTTCTTGAGAATGGTATGGTTGAGGGCGATGGTCGTGAGGAAGTGAGTAGGGATAGCGCAAAGGACATGGCGAACGAGAGCCAGCCGGTCACCACGAGAGAGCATGGATGCGCGCCATGTAGATAACTTCCGCTCGAGCTTGAGCACGATGGGCAGCAGGCTGGACGAAGACGGCTTGCAGATTGAGAGAGGTAGACCCAGGTATTGCACAGGGAACTGCGTTACGGGGCAGTTCATCACATTAATTAGAAAACAAATAACCAATTTTAAGAAATCTCATTATTAAAGCATTTATGTACCTACTTAATTTGTAATGGAATATTATCTTATTATTAAAGTATTTATATACCTATTTAATTTGTAATCGAATATTATCCAATGGCAGCAAACAAATGTGGACGCCTAATCTCATTTCCGTCGTCCTGCCCTACCGCTCGAAGAGTCCGAGCGCCGACACCACCACGTAGCCTCGTGCCCTACCCCATCCCGGATTCCTCCCTCTCCCTTACTCTCTATCTCTCGTGCACGCTCACGCAGGGGATGGCCGCTCGGTCGCTCCCTGTTGGGGAACGTAGCAATTTCCAAAAAATTCCTACGCACACGCAAGATCATGGTGATGCATAGCAACGAGAGGGGAGAGCGTTGTCCACGTACCCTCGTAGACTGAAAGCGGAAGCGTTATAACAACGCGGTTGATGTAGTCGTATGTCTTCACGGCCCGACCGATCAAGCACCGAAACTACGGCACCTCCGAGTTCTAGCACACGTTCAGCTCGATGACGATCCCGGGACTCCGATCCAACAGAATGTCGGGGAAGAGTTCCGTCAGCATGACGGCGTGGTGACGATCTTGATGTTCTACCGTCGCAGGGCTTCGCCTAAGCACCGCTACAATATTATCGAGGATTATGGTGGAGGGGGGCACCGCACACGGCTAAGAGATCAATGATCAATTGTTGTGTCTCTGGGGTGCCCCCTGCCCCCGTATATAAAGGAGCAAGGGGGGAGGCGGACGGCCTAGGAGGAGGGTGCGCCAAGGGGGGAGTCCTACTCCCACCGGGAGTAGGACTCCTCCTTCCCTTGCTGGAGTAGGAGAGAAGGAAAGAGGGGGAGAGGAACAAGGAAAAGGGGGCTGCACCCCTTGTCCAATTCGGACCAGAGGGGGGGCGCGTGCCTCCTTCCTTTTGGCCTGTCTCCTCTATTCCTGTATGGCCCAATAAGGCCCATATACTCCCCGGCGAATTCCCGTAACTCTTCGGTACTCTGAAAAATACCCGAATCACTCGGAACCTTTCCGATGTCCGAATATAGTCATTGAATATATCGATCTTTACGTCTCGACCATTTTGAGACTCCTCGTCATGTCCCCGATCTCATCCGGGACTCCGAACTCCTTCGGTACATCAAAACTCATAAACTCATAATATAACTGTCATCGAAACCTTAAGCGTGCAAACCCTACGGGTTCGAGAACAATGTAGACATGACCGAGACACGTCTCCGGTCAATAACCAACAGCGGAACTTGGATGCTCATATTGGCTCCCACATATTCTACGAAGATCTTTATCGGTCAAACCGCATAACAACATACGTTGTTCCCTTTGTCATCGGTATGTTACTTGCCCGAGATTCGATCTTCGGTATCTCAATACCTAGTTCAATCTCGTTACCGGCAAGTCTCTTTACTCGTTCCGTAATACATCATCCCGCAACTAACTCATTAGTTGCAATGCTTGTAAGGCTTATAGTGATGTGCATTACCGAGTGGCCCAGAGATACCTCTCCGACAATCGGAGTGACAAATCCTAATCTCGAAATACGCCAACCCAAGAAGTACCTTCGGAGACACCTGTAGAGCACCTTTATAATCACCCAGTTACGTTGTGACGTTTGGTGGCACACAAAGTGTTCCTCCAGTAAACGGGAGTTGCATAATCTCATAGTCATAGGAACATGTATAAGTCATGAAGAAAGCAATAGCAACAAACTAAACGATCAAGTGCTAAGCTAACGAAATGGGTCAAGTCAATCACATCATTCTCCTAATGATGTGATCCCGTTAATCAAATGACAACTCATGTCTATGGTTAGGAAACATAACCATCTTTGATCAATGAGCTAGTCAAGTAGAGGTATACTAGTGACATTCTATTTGTCTATGTATTCACACATGTATCATGTTTCCGGTTAATACAATTCTAGCATGAATAATAAACATTTATCATGATATGAGGAAATAAATAATAACTTTATTATTGCCTCTAGGGCATATTTCCTTCAGTCTCCCACTTGCACTAGAGTCAATAATCTAGTTCACATCGCCATGTGATTTAATACCAATAGTTCACATCACCATGTGATTAACACCCATAGTTCACATCGACATGTGACCAACACCCAAAGGGTTTACTAGAGTCAATAATCTAGTTCACATCGCTACGTGATTAACACCCAAAGAGTACTAAAGCGTGATCATGTTTTGCTTGTGAGAGAAGTTTAGTCAACGGGCCTGCCACATTCAGATCCGTACGTATTTTGCAAATTTCTATGTCAACAATGCTCTGCACGGAGCTACTCTAGCTAATTGCTCCCACTTCCAATATATATCCAGATTGAGACTTAGAGTCATCTGGATCAGTGTCAAAACTTGCATCGACGTAACCCTTTGCGATGAACCTTTTGTCACCTCCATAATCGAGAAACATATCCCTATTCC